TGAGTGCCGGCTGGTGGCCAAGACATTTGTTGTTCAAAGTATTCAGCCCACCGGTCAAGGCATTCCTCCTTATTAGAGATGGTCGTTCCAATCTGATGCTTGATGCTTTCACTCACAGGTAGTTTTCGGGGACCGGTCGCACGGATCAACTTAAATAATCTCCGGCCATTACCAGCTTTCTGGGCCTCTTCCATTTCTTTGGCTTTCTGTGTCCACCATACTTCACGGTCGGATCGCAAGCTCACTATCACTTGACGTCTGATGGCTCTTCGCATCGGGTTATGTTCGGGCCCGGCTGGGATATTTCTTCGAGATTTAAGTAGTGACACCGTTCGGTCTGATATCCAGTGCTTGAGTGCGCCTGGATGGGTCTGGATCTGCCAGTCTTTCAGTTGCCATGCGATTTGTCCGCACCTTACGCGGCCCCGGGAAACGTAGGGAGAAGTGACTCCGGACGAGCGCGTGGTCAGAGTCCACAAATGTGTTCCAAAATGACCGGTAGTCAGTTATGGACCCGCGCCATCGGTTGGAGGACACCAAGTGGCCAGACGACTTCGGCTATTTCGGAAGTTAGTACTGCATAAAAACAGCCTGCGATCAGTACACAGCTGAAGCAGCCGTTCCCCATTGCATACAACCAAATAACTGGTCGGCTGTAACACCCTTCGAATGCCCAGCTACCACGCAACCCGAAGGAAGCATGGAGGCTGAGATGACGACTCGCTGATAGCGTTTTGCCCCAGCATGGTGCTCAGATGTGCCTAGTTCAATGGTTTTGAAAGGTGTGCGCTCCCCACGCATGGCCGTTTATATTATGGGCACAATTTCTAGCAATAATTCCTCAACCATCCTGGTTCCTTTAATTTTTCCTAATGTCTTTAGAGGTCATGTGACAGTTAAGCAGCAGTCTTCTCTGATGATGTATTGGTACCCAAGATGATGAATTCTGCTCGGAGCCCCCGTTGAGATTCTTATTCTCACACATAGTGAATAGTATCAGGCCCCATACACGCTGCACCTCAGCCTACTGAAAACCCTGCCGCCCAAGACATTTAAATATATATATGTATACATATATTATATGTATATACTCGAATATAGTTATCACGCGTACATTTCCGACTCGAAAACATGAGCTTACAAGTCACTATGTCATCTTAGGTTGCTACACAACCTCCTGCGGATATAGCGCCAGATGTCATCAATATCCTGAGTCCAGAGCTACAGAATTTCCTATATGAGGCGCTGAGGTCTGTCTTGTGGAATCGCATCACTGCCCGATGGCATGCATCAGCACTACTGTTCAACGTAGAAGTGGGAGACAGAACCTCATCCCAAATACACCATCACATGCGTTCTCGCGCTGAGAATCAGCACACACACACACACACACACACACACAATCTGCACAGACTCTGGGACACGCGTTCATCTCCCGATTCACAGGCTGTTTTGGCCGTGCAGTCAAACGATACCTCACTTGGTAAACTGGCGGGAGTCGTCAGCGTTCGTCCACTTGTTGGGTACACCAGGTCGCCCAAAATTCCTTCCTGAAAACTAAGGAGTCAATAAGATGCCTTAAAACGGCAAATACCACAATAGACAACGCAAAACAACACTATTATCGCCTGGGTATTCGATACCCAACACTCCCAAACTCTAGGTTTCTCAGTTGGTACCGGCATCGAATTGAATTTTACATCACCCACGTGGGGTAAGCCTCGTCTTAGACTAGCATCCTGCATCCTGAATACATTGATACATTTGGGAGGCGTTCAACGCATCTCCCGACGGCACGTCTTACACGCGGGTTTATCCACAGCCCCGTCTGTTCAGAGTGGCAGAGATACTTTGAGATCGTCCCCTTCATCTATTGTGACTGCCAGTGGAGTCAGCCGACTGTACAACATAAGTGAACATTGGTAGACATTTTATCCATGTGTACATAGTATAAAAAGAGAATTTTCTGTCAGACTAGTCTGGAGCTATGGTGAAAAACGACCATACGGCAGAAAAAACTCACTTTGTAGTAGCTCCACCAGATTCGACATACGCGCGTTTTCTACTATATCATTAAGCGATACAAATAAACGCTTGAACAGATTCCACAGGCCTTTTCCGGCATTCATTCGCAGATGTCACAAAAAGAATCACATAGTTACCCCTTAGTGTTTCGTATTGCTTTTTGGGATAATCTTCAGTGGTACAGGAAGTCTCAAAAGCTCCACGCCACATGACTCCAACAAAATGCTTCACGGGAATCTCATTCGTTGTTAACGGTTCTCACTGGAGTGCCCATCGCATATTAGGTAGGTAAGCTACAAGGTACTTTCTGCATCGAGTATTGAACTGGAGCCTGAACGAGTTGCGCCTGGAACCGGGGAAACATACAGGATTATTTTGGAGAGCATTCAGTCAACATCAACTTCAACCATATTTATGGTGATCCTTCTGACCATTGTAAATTAGTACTTTCTTTGTGACTCATCACTACTCAAATTGTACCACTTTCTGTCTCTCACTAAATCTCAGCTTATTCCTCTTCTCTTTATTACGGAAAAACCTTTGTTTAAATGAACGCAAGGAAATATGTAAGCATACACCCAATACAAATTCTGTACTTCGTGAAAGGCGTGTTCCCTTCTTGCTGTGTCGAGTTACGCTCTCAGTGAATTAACGAGCGGTGATCAACCTTTCAGACTACGACGGGATAGAAAGTATCTAGGAATATATTAAGGAAGATTCCAGGAAGGAGATCGATTTGGATTTATTGTGGCGGTAATAACTAACTGTACCAACGAACTGTGAGTTGTATCATCTCGCCTATTTTTACTCACTTGATTTAACTACTTTGAACTGGTATTTGCTAGTGTTATCCACTACATGTTGACTGACGACCTTAGCTGGGTAATCATTTCATGTAGAGTGGGTCACTTGATCAGGTCGCTGCTCTGCCTAAGATAAAGCTGGAGCATCCTCTGATATGGGCGCGACGGATTCATGTGTTTTCATCCAAATGGTTCTGGAATTTTATGAATGAAATATCGTCACGTCAAATTCTTCTTAATTGTTTTTGAGTCGGCTTTGGTCAAGTGGTCTTATCGTGCTACAGCGATCCACCATTTGGCTATGAATTCGCAGCGTAATGTAGGGGAAATCCTCATGTCTAATTTGGCGGTGACTTCAAACTTTGCCTCCCCAAATACTGTTTCGCAAGGTTGGACGCCTTCATGGTAGAAGGAGGATCAAATGTAGTCCGTTCGAGAGGTATTGTTCAACAACTCGGCAGCTGTTTTTGGGGTATTTGTAAAAGCTATTTACCGTCATTGTAAACCACGTTGGGTATAACTTCTTTAGATGCAGTCTTAACTAATAACCTGGGGTCCGCGGGTCACATTTTAGGATCGCCGGTGTACATAACAGCTGCACAGAACCCTGAAAGAATAGTACAGAGAAAAACAACAAGCATCAGGAACAGAGGGTGTTCAGGACCAACCATGGAAAACAGGACCTGACAGGTCAAAATGTGGTTCAGGTATGCCCATAACGGGTAGCTAAAATCATCGTTCGAAAGCAAACGCCAAGGGGCAGCGAGGTAAACAGTCCAGGACTTCTGAGTGATCTCGTCGGTGAGCAGGAGCCATTACGAAAGTTAGCCAACAACATGGAAAAACTGGAAACCTGGAGTATTTTGGAATACTTTACCCGGGTAAAATTGCATCACCGGTGAAATTGCCAGATTAGCGCTGGGGCAAAGCCGGTGAAGAGGACCGGATTTGGTCGTGGGAGGCGCTTGTTAGGTAGGAGACACGTTGTAAGCAACCTGCAAACGAACTTTTCCAAGCGATAGACGAGCGATAAGCAAGTGATAAACATAGAACTACCAGTTGATAGTTGATTAAGTCGAGGGATCCTTTCGTTTCCAGTGCACGAACAAATGATTATACCCCACGTCATTGAGATAGTTCAATGACAAAGGCTTAGGAAACGAGTGCGGTGTGGAATTATAATTGCTGAAGGAATTTTAACAAGTCATTTGGGCCACAGAATCTGCTAGGGTCACATACTATGAACTGGTCCATTACACCGTCTTTTGTTTCTGTACCCACTGATTGACGAAAGTCATATACAAATGCCTGGCTACGTACCTGACGTTTGGGGATGGATGTGCAGGAATTGGCGAACGGCTTCAGCAGCAAGCTGGGATGAGGGAGGACATGACGGCTCGGTGTAAGAGTTCCGCCGTACCTGTGTTTGCTTACCTCCCGGCCGAGCCCTCCCCTTTTTCGGACCCCTTGTTTTCTGCGTTTACCTCATGTATTTGATATCCATTCACAACCCCCCATGTGGAACCGATTCTGTTGAAATTTTTGCGTGCGCCTTTTGACCACCTGGGTTATTACGTGCTGTGCGCGCATGTTTACCGGTAGTTCACATTGAGTTGCCGTCTTTGCCAGGTTTTCTTCGGACTTGCATCAGTTCGTGCAACAATTAGATGGGAATCCCCATAATCTGAGGTTTACACCTCTCTCATATGCACGCTTCGCACGTCACGGCCTCACTTTGTTGATAAATCTCAAGACGTTACATTTCTTTGTTTGTGACTTCGTGCGTCAATGAGTTATGCTTAAGGGAATACGCCACGTATTCTACAGTTTGTGTGGCGGAACTGAGTTTCTGGATGTCTGTACCGGAACAGACGTTGGACCTCGCCCTGCTACTTACGTGACTTAGTCGAGAAAATACCACTTGGAAGGGCGAATTTCTTCCCAGTTATTACCAGCCAAAGTTTTGATGTATCAAGTTCAGATACTTTGCCCTCAGCGACGTCAAGCATGGATAAGATTCGGGCAGAGTTTTCTATGTGAAGTTGCCGCGTAAATTAAGAAACGAAACACCTGGAGGCTTCGGGCACATTTCGTTTTCATATTTCGCAACAGAGTGATGGTTAGCGGCTATCCAGTTGACAAAAATTGAATGGTTTCTCACGCCATTATCATCACCACGTCGTCCAAACATGCGTTTTTGGGACACTATGAAAACGCCATAGAGATTTCACCGCTTACTCGGCGCTTGGTAACCACGTGAGATGGTAAGATTTAGGCCGCAACAGTATTTAGTGTTGCAGCTGGTAGACTTCTGGCGCCTGAACATGTTGCACAGTAGCCATCTCTGTGATTTATTGATGTTATATTTTGTACCTAACTGAGATACTCCCATGTAAACCGCTGTAGTGCTGCTTCGTGGACTTCTCGTTGCAGAAGCGTTTTCGCGAAAAAGTGCTATATTCTGACTAACATTCCTTTGTCTTTCCAACTAGCAGAGCGGTATAAACCCCGATTCTGCACTAACAACCGAGAGAACTTAAATTAGCTTTGCGGATGAAATCATCCACATTCAATGGTCATGGTAACGTTGCTTATCGACTGTTCTCCGCGTGCTTCTGCCTATTTCACAGGGCCACTTAGTTTCGCAAAGGTTAGAGGTGCACCTCTGATAAAAAAATCGGCTGACACGGTGAACGCAGTTTGAACGTGCCTGTTATGGATTTTCAGTCATAAACTCCCCAACCTACTGGATATCACCAGCTGTGGGAACCACACAAAGCCCCAGGGAATTTTCAGTGTGTGACATATAGTTACCCTAGTTGAAAATCTGGTTAATAATAAGGTAACAGGGTGCTGACCGGGGGAGCGACTAACTCGTAATGGCCCTAGTTGCTGGATAAGCCGTCAACTAAAAGTTTCAAAGCCTCCCCGCAAGCTGACTGATTTATTGATCGTCTGGAATCCACGATTTCGGCGAAGGATCACCAATTTGAAATTAACGGCGGCTTTAAAAACATGTAATCAGCGTGATTCTTTGGAATAGCTGGGTGGACGGGCAAGTCCCCGCCATGGCTGGGTATCGTGTGTAACAGATTCTTTACCAAGAGTGTACTGATTGCCCGTACTACCGTATCGGTTGACCTTTACACTTTCGAAGAGTTATCATCTGGCCACCCTGAAGTGACCGCATCTTTCATTAGTCAAACATCGTGCGTGGGATTCGTCATCGGTTGGTCCTTGGCGTCCGTCCTGTCGATTTCGTCTTGCACACGAAAACTCAGGAATCCATTTGCTTTAGATATATTTGTCACGTGAGGCAAAACGAGGTGTCTTAACAACCAAAACGAGACAGTGAACATACAGTTGGAATGCCCAAACCAACCCCTAGACTCCCCACCAGACAAAGCTGGTAACATGGAGGCCAATCTGGATTCGACGCTACATGCTTTCAAATATGAAGGGCCTACTAAACAGCAGATCGCCGCAATCCTGAGATAATTGAAAAGAAGAAAATAGCTGGAAGTGAATCGACCTATACTAGGATCCCTAAAACCTGCATATAGTCACATTCTTGATCACTCTACCAACCGTTGTGCTTATTGTAGAGGGATCAATATGCGTTGAGATTAAGGTACTTCAGTATCACTACTGATTTTCAAAAAGTGGACGATCATCGTGAAATCAGCCACTTCGAAGTTCAGCCAAAATTTTGCGTCGCCTCAAGAATATCTACTTTCTTGAAGCAGAGATATACGCACGAAGTCAAGAGAGACGTGCGAGCCAAGCGGTTCTTTGCGACGAACAGAAGAACACCCTTTCAGACTCGTGAATTACAATATACCCCGTTTTTTAACTTTGGGCAGATTTTGGCTTACTATGGATCATTGTGGACATTTCTGGGCTGGCTCTTAAAAACTGTCAAGAGTTAGTGTTTGTTGGCAATAGCTCGGGCGCGGTGTGCTTCACGTAGGCCACAGACTTCAACAGAGAATCGGACGTACTACAAGGTCCCTTACTGTCGCCAGGACTCTAACCCTCGACTGTCGCTTGCTCAAACAAACACTTAAAAGACAAAACCAAGTAGGTTTAGAACCAAAAATCAGAAGAAAAGTCGTGTATAGACAGGTAACGATGCAATGGCGATAACCACGTAGACAGAATCGGCAAGTTCTCGCGGGACCCTGGGAAACATTTCGGAAGATTTGTCCAAAAGGAACTTGTAGATGAGCT